TGAGAATTGAAGTAGTCCTTACATCACACCATTAGTAATTGCTGTTGTCAGTATTATATAGGGCTAAAATGTGACAAATGATGAGCTTTTCATTCAAAAATTAGATCGCTAGGTGACTCTAGTGGATTATAACATAATGAAACGTGCGGAAACCATACAACTTCCCCGTTGCCAGAGCTTAATTTATTGCAGCACGAAATACTCTGTCAAGCTTTGAGTTATGAGTATTAGTGTAAGCTATGAGTATTGTAATCTAGCTATTTGTATTTTGACAAATCCTCTCTTAAATCGATCTGTCAAAACATCGTAACCTCCTCCTCTGATACCAGCGATCAGTCAGGACGTAGCAGTTGCAACGTGTCAGTTTTAAGGTTTCATGGCTCACATCGGGGGTGTTTTTTGTCAGATATTGGTTTAGGTTATATTAAACACTTATTGCCTCAGAATTCCTCAGATATTGATCTGACGTTGACACTGATAGTTAGATACTTTTTATAAGGAAAGTAAAGTAGGATAGACTCCTGGATTTTGAAGCTTATCAGTTAGTAATGGAAAATTTGTTATATTCCTGACTCTCCCAAGATAGACGAACTTTATTTGTTACCTTTAGTTTGAAATCATAATTTTATTCCACTATTTCCAAAGGAGCTTCTAAACATTTATCTAATCTCTTTGTCCTTTATCATAAATATACCAGCCCTGTAAGGGACTTATGACTTTATGATAGCAGGTTAAACATTCGTAACACAGAAAAACGCCTTAATAAACAGTGTCAACATTTCATTTTTCAATTCGTCGTTCGTTTTTAGGTTTTGGGAGTTCATTTCGAGCACAATCAGCTTACTTTTCGGATTAAAGTTCAAACTTTCCACACTTCACAGATATTACTTGCAAGCTCACGACCCAATACTTGAAGGGTTCACAATTTGACAGAAACCAATAACAGAAGCTCTGGAATTCACAGAACCAACTTTTACCTGGGTAAACTGGATCAATAGCGCCAGACTCTGACTCTCTTGTTGTGTAAACTATAACTTCATGTCGCTTAATCCCTTACTATATCGTCCACACGCTCTGTCATGATACGAACACTTCAGCCCTATACCATGAAGATCACGCCGATGCCATGAAAGACTTCTCACGCCCGATGCCATGAAGACTTCGCGCCCTTTTGCCATGAAGACTTCACGCCTTTGTCATGAAGACTTCACGCCTCTGAAACCATGTATGATGAATACTTCACTCCTCTACCTTGTAGGACTTCACGCCTATACCAGCCCTAAATCTTTGCCGTTAACAAGGGTAAGTATTTTGGACACCACCCCAGTAGAGGACACATTACATAATCATGAATGAGATCTGGACGCCTGTATAGTCTCGCCTGTACAACTTTTCCTTAATGAAATAACGAATTTTATCAGATCTCCACCACGGAGATAACTGCGAGAATTGATTCATGAAACACTCCCAACCGCCACCACCAATTATCACATCGGAATCAACACGGTTTGTAAAAGCATTGTGCCCCCTTAATAGCACCCGCACCCTCTATTTCTATAATAAGGAGAATAGGGAATGTGCACAATCTAATCGGTAATCAGATTTGTGGTAGGAAGTAGAAGAATGGGTAGCAGAAATGACATGAAACTGAGGGCCACGTCACTACTCCTGTGATTTAATCAATGAAGCAGCTTTGCAGGCTTGCTATCAGTTCAGGGCGAGGACTGCAGCTTCTCACGCCTCTATACAGTATTTATACTAGTAATGTTATATGTTTTTAACATAGAAGAGATACTTGTCTGCGTCATTGGTATTTCCTTTTTTTGTAAACGTAAATTCCGTTCAAGTGTCTGCCACAGATTGCAGACTACAGTTTGCAGACTTCAGTTTTGCAGACTACAGTTTGCAGACCTTTTTGGATGTTTGTTGCTGAATGCATTCATTCCAGTATGTTCTGAAGTAATGACTGTTCCTCATTGATTGTTTTGAGCACAACAGCTATCTTGTCTGGCTTTAGTCTCGCATCTTAAGTACTCCGTTAGTGGTTATTTCTGGAGCTTAACTTAATCCCTTGTCTATGAGGTGACATCCTGACGAATTTTAAAAGAAAGTTTATAAATTCTGATAGAGAGGCACGGAGCACCTTCGGAAGTATTAATTGCAGAATTTAAACGATGGTTTAATGAGATGCAAAATTCTGATGCAGAGCTGTGACATTAGGTGGACAGCTTGTTCTTAATTAAATGTTCTTATTGCTCGCTAAATTCTTTTGTGTTTGCTCGTTATAGATCTCTTTTCCAATTGCAGTGCACGCGATTTATCAGTTTGCCTTTAGATGTTTACGTTTTCTTACTTTTTCTGCTGAAGTTTTTTGGGACGGCATTTGGCCAATGACCAAGGTTGATGATTAGCTTACCCGTGGGAAAAATATTTGAACTGTCGTGGCAGGTGACAGTAGACAGCTCCCTACTCTTAAACATACGATAACATAGGGTCAACCGAATTCAGGGCTACTACATCTCAGTAGCAACATATTCATTATGCATCCCACTAAATATCAAACTAGATTATTATAATATTAATAAATATTATGCTCACATATTTAGCACTGTCATTCGGACTCAAGAATTTATCCACTTCCACTTTCAAAGGAATCCCCAAAATAGGTCCTGTCAATTACCTGGAGATATCTCCAGGAAAGTGGAGCATTTACAACTTCACATATCAGCTCTGCACACAGGGAGAGAGAGAGAGAGAGAGAGAGAGAGAGAGAGAGAGAGAGAGAGAGAGAGAGAGAGAGAGAGAGAGAGAGAGAGAGAGAGAGAGAGAGAGAGAGAGAGAGAGAGAGAGAGAGAGAGAGAGAGAGAGAGAGAGAGAGAGAGAGAGAGAGAGAGAGAGAGAGAGAGAGAGAGAGAGAGAGAGAGAGAGAGAGAGAGAGAGAGAGAGAGAGAGAGAGAGAGAGAGAGAGAGAGAGAGAGAGAGAGAGAGAGAGAGAGAGAGAGAGAGAGAGAGAGAGAGAGAGAGAGAGAGAGAGAGAGAGAGAGAGAGAGAGAGAGAGAGAGAGAGAGAGAGAGAGAGAGAGAGAGAGAGAGAGAGAGAGAGAGAGAGAGAGAGAGAGAGAGAGAGAGAGAGAGAGAGAGAGAGAGAGAGAGAGAGGAGAGAGAGAGAGAGAGAGAGAGAGAGAGAGAGAGAGAGAGAGAGAGAGAGAGAGAGAGAGAGAGAGAGAGAGAGAGAGAGAGAGAGAGAGAGAGAGAGAGAGAGAGAGAGAGAGAGAGAGAGAGAGAGAGAGAGAGAGAGAGAGAGAGAGAGAGAGAGAGAGAGAGAGAGAGAGAGAGAGAGAGAGAGAGAGAGAGAGAGAGAGAGAGAGAGAGAGAGAGAGAGAGAGAGAGAGAGAGAGAGAGAGAGAGAGAGAGAGAGAGAGAGAGAGAGAGAGAGAGAGAGAGAGAGAGAGAGAGAGAGAGAGAGAGAGAGAGAGAGAGAGAGAGAGAGAGAGAGAGAGAGAGAGAGAGAGAGAGAGAGAGAGAGAGAGAGGAGAGAGAGAGAGAGAGAGAGAGAGAGAGAGAGAGAGAGAGAGAGAGAGAGAGAGAGAGAGAGAGAGAGAGAGAGAGAGAGAGAGAGAGAGAGAGAGAGAGAGAGAGAGAGAGAGAGAGAGAGAGAGAGAGAGAGAGAGAGAGAGAGAGAGAGAGAGTACACATACTGTGCATATTTACAGTACCCAAATTGGCGCTAAATAGAGTTATTACCTAATGTGCGCTACAAAGTACATTCCCGTAAAAACTTGGTCATCAACGTATCACATACATAAATGATCATTGATCGCGTTAAAAATATTTGTATATTTCTCGTCTACTTTCTTATTTTATTTTTAAACACACGCTTTATCAATCAGACAGATCCACAGTATTTCTACCCCAGCAGTAATATCATAAAAAACAAGAAACGGAAACATTTGATACACTATTTCGTAGTAGAGTGGAGGGTTTCTTCTCAAGATTGCATAACATTAACACTATAACACCCCTTAAAGACCTAGTCTGACTTAACAGCTCACAAATCACTTTCATAGATCATCACCGGTCGGTGACTTGTCCTTTTTTGTAGCTCTTCTTCCCGAATAGCGAAGTATAAGGATGTTATTGTTGCATGCAAGGGGTTACTGCAGAAGATCGGAGCCAAGATTCGGTCAACTTTTTATTTGTTGATCCGTCGAACTGCAAGACGTGCGGGAACTGCAACATTTGTGGCCACTTCACCTCAAAAGTCGGTCTAGACTCTAGATTTCCTTTTTTTGGCTTTTTATTTGATGAAACGGATACACTTGTTATTTTTCGTGTGTCATTGTAAGTTCCTTAGCCCTTCATTCTTTATTGTAATTTTTACGCGTTCATAATTTGAAAGTTTAAAGTTGCCTGTTGTAGTGTTGTGCACTGTTTCGTTTCTTCACTACCAATTAAATGGGAGGGCTCAAGTATTAACGCCTGCACTTGTGAGATTTGTTTCACCCTTATCGGTACAATTAAATGTGACAACCTCCCTGATAACACGGTTTATAGCTCTGTAAGGTACAATTGTGACAACCTCCCTGATAACACGGTTTATAGCTCTGTAAGGACAATTTTACAGCTTCTTCAGCTCTCTTATCACCAATTCTCGTTAGCTTATTGAGGTTTACCCTTATTTTCTATCAATTGAGGTCGATTTATGTGTGAGATGATTTTTAACAATTCCCTGACCAGATTCCTGTTGCTCTTAAAACTAGACCCCACCGGTCTAGCCTCCCTGGTATTGCTCGCCTCTTAATTTGATAAGCTATTGAAACTATTTCTTAAAAATGACAGCTCCAGTCTGTTAAATCACAGTTAAATCACTGCTCCACCCCTATAATCAATCACCTGATAATCACATTTCTCAAAGTGTAAGTTTGAGATCTTCTCACTATACTAGACATCGTATAGGGCGGTTTTAAACTAAATTGTGAGATATCTTGATATTATCATATCAGGAAACGAGGAACACTAGAAACGTGATACACGATGATAGCTCTACTCAGTAAGCTAAATACTAAATTACCGTTTGTTACGTATGTTGTTTAAAATGTATCAGCGCTGGGAACTCGAATAACATTCCTATTTTTCTATAACTATTTTGTGGTTCTTGTCAGAAGGGACCTTTCAATTCAATTCAAATTGTGGTTCCGCGGTTGACAAATTATTCTATTATTATGTATGACTTGTTTCAAGTTTAAAAAGCTGCACAAATTTGCAACATGAAGAGGACAGTTTTTCAACAAAAAACCGTCCATAGACCAAAATTTAAATCAAATTGACCACAATTGTATACCACGAGAGTTAAGAAAGTTTTAAAATTAAAACTTACAGTATATCAATATACTCGACATCATGTTATGATCTTTATCTTTATTTTATTACGCCCAAGCTAAGCAGTTTATAGAAATTCCATCAATGATTAAATAACAACAATAAAATGAGGATACAGAGGCAGAAAATAAAGAGTATGAAAAGTCAAGGATAAAACACTAGATTCTTAAACACTATTATTTCAGTGGCACTAGTAGCGACGCTAAGATTAGGAGAGGGTAAAGAACACAACACTAGATTCTTAAACACTATTATTTCAGTGGCACTAGTAGCGACGCTAAGATTAGGAGAGGGTAAAGAACACAACACTAGATTCTTAATCCCTATTATTTCAGTGGCACTAGTAGCGACGCTAAGATTAGGAGAGGGTAAAGAACACAACACTAGATTCTTAATCCCTATTATTTCAGTGGCACTAGTAGCGACGCTAAGATTAGGAGAGGGTAAAGAACACAACACTAGATTCTTAAACACTATTATTTCAGTGGCACTAGTAGCGACGCTAAGATTAGGAGAGGGTAAAGAACACAACACTAGATTCTTAAACACTATTATTTCAGTGGCACTAGTAGCGACGCTAAGATTAGGAGAGGGTAAAGAACACAACACTAGATTCTTAATCCCTATTATTTCAGTGGCACTAGTAGCGACGCTAAGATTAGGAGAGGGTAAAGAACACAACACTAGATTCTTAAACACTATTATTTCAGTGGCACTAGTAGCGACGCTAAGATTAGGAGAGGGTAAAGAACACAACACTAGATTCTTAATCCCTATTATTTCAGTGGCACTAGTAGCGACACTGAGATTAGGGGAGGGTAAAGGGCACAAGCTAAACACTATTATTTCAGTGGCACTATTAGCGACGCTAAGATTAGGAGAGGGTAAAGGACACAAGCTAAACACTCATTATTTCAGTGGCACTAGTAGCGACGCTAAGATTAGGAGAGGGTAAAGGACACAAGCTAAACACTATTATTTCAGTGGCACTAGTAGCGACGCTAAGATTAGGAGAGGGTAAAGGACACAAGCTAAACACTATTATTTCAGTGGCACTAGTAGCGACGCTAAGATTAGGAGAGGGTAAAGGACACAAGCTAAACACTATTATTTCAGTGGCACTAGTAGCGACGCTAAGATTAGGAGAGGGTAAAGGGCACAAGCTTAACACTATTATTTCAGTGGCACTAGTAGCGACGCTAAGATTAGGAGAGGGTAAAGGACACAAGCTAAACACTATTATTTCAGTGGCACTAGTAGCGACGCTAAGATTAGGAGAGGGTAAAGAACACAACACTAGATTCTTAATCCCTATTATTTCAGTGGCACTAGTAGCGACGCTAAGATTAGGAGAGGGTAAAGAACACAACACTAGATTCTTAATCCCTATTATTTCAGTGGCACTAGTAGCGACGCTAAGATTAGGAGAGGGTAAAGAACACAACACTAGATTCTTAAACACTATTATTTCAGTGGCACTAGTAGCGACGCTAAGATTAGGAGAGGGTAAAGAACACAACACTAGATTCTTAAACACTATTATTTCAGTGGCACTAGTAGCGACGCTAAGATTAGGAGAGGGTAAAGAACACAACACTAGATTCTTAATCCCTATTATTTCAGTGGCACTAGTAGCGACGCTAAGATTAGGAGAGGGTAAAGAACACAACACTAGATTCTTAAACACTATTATTTCAGTGGCACTAGTAGCGACGCTAAGATTAGGAGAGGGTAAAGAACACAACACTAGATTCTTAATCCCTATTATTTCAGTGGCACTAGTAGCGACACTGAGATTAGGGGAGGGTAAAGGGCACAAGCTAAACACTATTATTTCAGTGGCACTATTAGCGACGCTAAGATTAGGAGAGGGTAAAGGACACAAGCTAAACACTCATTATTTCAGTGGCACTAGTAGCGACGCTAAGATTAGGAGAGGGTAAAGGACACAAGCTAAACACTATTATTTCAGTGGCACTAGTAGCGACGCTAAGATTAGGAGAGGGTAAAGGACACAAGCTAAACACTATTATTTCAGTGGCACTAGTAGCGACGCTAAGATTAGGAGAGGGTAAAGGACACAAGCTAAACACTATTATTTCAGTGGCACTAGTAGCGACGCTAAGATTAGGAGAGGGTAAAGGGCACAAGCTTAACACTATTATTTCAGTGGCACTAGTAGCGACGCTAAGATTAGGAGAGGGTAAAGGACACAAGCTAAACACTATTATTTCAGTGGCACTAGTAGCGACGCTAAGATTAGGAGATGGTAAAGGGCACAAGCTTAACACTATTATTTCAGTGGCACTAGTAGCGACGCTAAGATTAGGAGAGGGTAAAGGACACAAGCTTAAACACTATTATTTCAGTGGCACTAGTAGCGACGCTAAGATTAGGAGATGGTAAAGGACACAAGCTTAAACACTATTATTTCAGTGGCACTATTAGCGACGCTAAGATTAGGAGAGGGTAAAGGGCACAAGCTAAACACTATTATTTCAGTGGCACTAGTAGCGACGCTAAGATTAGGAGAGGGTAAAGGGCACAAGCTAAACACTATTATTTCAGTGGCACTATTAGCGACGCTAAGATTAGGAGAGAGTAAAGGGCACAATCTAAACACTATTATTTCAGTGGCACTATTAGCGACGCTAAGATTAGGAGAGGGTAAAGGGCACAAGCTAAACACTATTATTTCAGTGGCACTAGTAGCGACGCTAAGATTAGGAGAGGGTAAAGGGCACAAGCTAAACACTATTATTTCAGTGGCACTAGTAGCGACGCTAAGATTAGGAGAGGGTAAAGGGCACAAGCTTAAACACTATTATTTCAGTGGCACTATTAGCGACGCTAAGATTAGGAGAGGGTAAAGGGCACAATCTAATCCCTATTATTTCAGTGGCACTAGTAGCGACGCTAAGATTAGGAGAGGGTAAAGGACACAATCTAATCCCTATTATTTCAGTGGCACTAGTAGCGACGCTAAGATTAGGGGAGGGTAAAGGACACAAGCACTGCAGACAGATGGAGCTCCATGATCTTTGTGAGACGCCCCAGGTAAACAAACTAGTAAAAGAATCCCTCAAGTATAATTATTGGTATAGTTTCAAGGGGATCATTGTAGAAATCTATTTCTACGGTCCATTAATTTGTGACTCACGGATTAAATCGAAGTTCTCAGAATAATTATTAAAAATTTAATCACAAAATATGAGCAAAAGTATGTCTCCCTAAGGGAAGAGAATGCATTCAATACACCCCTGACATGCAACCAGTGTGCAACCAGTACCGAATGAACAAAGCAACAAAGACCACCACCATCCTGAGCAGTGAGACTGTCCCTTACTGGGGTAAGTGAAACAAAAAACCAGTCCATAGGACTGCAAATTACTAATTTACTTTCGATTCGAAAGAATTGAATTGAAAATCATTCATGCTGGATAATTTATTGGTACTTTGGTAGCAACTGATCCTCTTATACACAATGAGATAATTTTTCTAATGAAAAGGAAGTGACTAGTTTTTAACCCTTATTTGACAATAATATTTGCTAATAAGAAGCCGTGTTGTACGGTTATTAACTTTGAAGCTACGGTTAAAGTACGGTTATTAAATTTAAAGGTGATAAACTTTTCTGCCTGCTCAAAGTTCAAGCATGGCTTGGTACGAAATTTAAATAATAGAGTAGTGAAAAAACATAGAATTTAAGACAAAAATCGTCTGGCGACTGGCAGTCCTTGCGAGCTCCACAGAAAACCATGGCCCGAAGAATTTTAGAATTTGAGTGCATTTTTGCTAAAACCACTGAGCTTCGTCAAATTAGGGGCATAAACCAAGAGGCGAAAATAGTGGATTTCGATTGGCTGGCTGCCTCTGAAGCTGCTTGGTGAAATAGCGTAGGCATTAATACTAAACCAGCTAAAATCCTAAATATTTGAAAATTGGGCAGGACGAATTACGTGAAGTGGGTGCTGAGAGGACGAAAGAGGGCGCATTTATTCAGCTGCATTTCTCTGTTACTAGGGTGTTACTAGGGTGTTACTAGGGTGTTACTAGGGTGTTACTAGGGCATTTTATCAGCTGCGGACCTGGTTTATTTGTCGACTATTACAAAATTCGGAGCACGCCTTCATCTGCTCTGCATTTCTCTGCAAGCACACAATTTTAATTTATTGCGTTAACATTTAAAAAACATAAGCTGCTTACCATAATTAGGTGACGTAATCATTAATCTGTGCCTAGTTATAATAATCTGGAATGTGACACTTTTGTGAAATGTTAGTATAACTGTCTAAATGTTTCACAATAGGAGGGGGGGCCAACGCCCCAAAAGGCCCCAAAAAGCCCCGATTTCTAGGGCCCTTTTTGGATTTTCGATGCGTCTAGGTCCTTTTGGAGCCCTAGAATTAACTTCAATTTCATCAAGTTTGATATATGCTAAGTGCTTTAATGATATTATCTGACTACTTGCACAGTACTTTTATGTTTATTTGAGTGTATTTACATGGAGATTATGGTCCATAAACACTATCAAATAGTGGTCAGGGTCAAAAGGCCCCAAAAGGCCCCAAAAAGCCCCGATTTCTAGGGCCCTTTTCGGATTTTCGATGCGTCTAGGGCCTTTTAGGGCGTTGGCCCCCCCCCCCACAATATTATCAGTGGATTTCTATTGGAAGAACCTTAAGGTAGCAAAATCTGAAATAACAGCGAAGGTCACGACACGCCTTGTTTCCGGTTATAATCAGCCCGTGATTTGAGATTAAATAATAGTGCGATATCACCGGAGTCAGAAAAGCAGGGAACAATTGTGGGGGATACTATTGTGATAATAATTTCGGCTTCCATCGGGAGACAATAATTGCTGGAGATGAATAAAATCAAATTACAATGGCACTACCGTAGTAGTGAATGGTGGTGATTAGTAGAGACTCTCCTTAGAATTCTAAAAATACCACGTATATAGTGTTGGGGTCCTGATTTTGCTGCAGTAAATCTTCACAGAAAAGACTATAATCGTTCCTCAAAAGAGAATTAAATCGGCACCTGGACAACTTTCTTGCAATCATTTCGTGGGATAGTTGGAGTTAATTTTTGCAACCAAAATCTCCGTTCACCACGATATCCTAGATCGATGGAAACTTTCTGCTGAATTTGCTACTACTTACTTGATCTGATCAACAGATAATTAACTTAAGAAAATTTCTCTAGAAATCATTATAAGTTATATATATAGCTGACGGACTGAAGAAAAAATAATACGAAAATTACTTCAGAGGAAATTATGAATTACTGAAAGAAGCAAATATTTTTGCTATTATAACTAAAAGCGAAGACATCGGACAATATTAAATATATTACTTTTATGTCCCAAAGTAATTTCCGATAGGAGAATAGCTCTCCACCCCATATGAATGAAAAATTTAATCACGGTAGGTAACATCAAGACCAATCCAACATTCGAATGAACATACATAACAATCATTTTTCTGCAATTAGCAGCATACTATATTTTTTAAAACTAATTACAACACTACAAATCTATTACATTTATTGAGAACTATATAATATAACGTGATGGAAATATTTTAAACGGCATATCCTGTCCAAACCCAGGATGCACTACATGAAGAATTCGTTGTTACTTTGTTTGAAAAGCATTAGTATATAACAATTTTTCCGCAAAAGGAGGCTGAAATTGAAAATAAGTTCTACATTAAATATAAATGTGTCCGCTAACCCCAACCCCTTATTTTCAGACGCAGCCCCACCAGTAATACTGCTGATAACCGGTAACCAGACCGTTGCACCAGGAGAGCCGTTTGAGATACGGTGCATGGCTGAGGGAGCCCCAGCTCCCTTTATCGAGATAGTTTATAAGGAAGACGCTGATCTTAGTCCGGTACGAAACTTAGAACTTAAACTTAGAAATAGAACTTAAAGTGAGTTAAAACTAAAGTAGTGCGCTTCAAAGTGAACACATACGCTTGTTTGACCATGTCAAAGTGAACGCATACGCTTGTTTGACTGTGTCAATTTGGCTCGATGCCAAAACAGAAATATTTCTGTTTGATTAGTTAGAGAGTCCTGCATAGTGGGACGCCCTGGTCATCCAGTTGCGATTCTGAGACTGCAGGTTTCCCCTCATCACACCCTCAGTGACCAGCTCTCTTTGAGAGAAGGTTTCTTTAACTCCACCTCTAAAACTCCGCTTAGAACTGGAGGTTTCTTTAACTCTACCTCTAAAACTCCGCTTAGAACTGGAGGTTTCTTTAACTCCACCTCTAAAACTCCGCTTAGAACTGGAGGTTTCTTTAACTCCACCTCTAAAACTCCGCTTAGAACTGGAGGTTTCTTTAACTCCACCTCTAAAACTCCGCTTAGAACTGGAGTTTTCTTTAACTCCAAGTCTAAAACTCCGCTTAGAACTGGAGGTTTCTTTAACTCCACCTCTAAAACTCCGCTTAGAACTGGAGGTTTCTTTAACTCCACCTCTAAAACTCCGCTTAGAACTGGAGGTTTCTTTAACTCCAAGTCTAAAACTCCGCTTAGAACTGGAGGTTTCTTTAACTCCACCTCTAAAACTCCGCTTATAGAACTGGAGGTTTCTTTAACTCCACCTCTAAAACTCCGCTTAGAACTGGAGGTTTCTTTAACTCCAAGTCTTAAACTCCGCTTAGAACTGGAGGTTTCTTTAACTCCACCTCTAAAACTCCGCTTAGAACTGGAGGTTTCTTTAACTCCACCTCTAAAACTCCGCTTAGAACTGGAGGTTTCTTTAACTCCACCTCTAAAACTCCGCTTAGAACTGGAGGTTTCTTTAACTCCACCTCTAAAACTCCGCTTAGAACTGGAGGTTTCTTTAACTCCACCTCTAAAACTCCGCTTAGAACTGGAGGTTTCTTTAACTCCACCTCTAAAACTCCGCTTAGAACTGGAGGTTTCTTTAACTCCACCTCTAAAACTCCGCTTAGAACTGGAGGTTTCTTTAACTCCAAGTCTAAAACTCCGCTTAGAACTGGAGGTTTCTTTAACTCCACCTCTAAAACTCCGCTTATAGAACTGGAGGTTTCTTTAACTCCACCTCTAAAACTCCGCGTAGAACTGGAGGTTTCTTTAACTCCAAGTCTAAAACTCCGCTTAGAACTGGAGGTTTCTTTAACTCCACCTCTAAAACTCCGCTTAGAACTGGAGGTTTCTTTAACTCCACCTCTAAAACTCCGCTTAGAACTGGAGGTTTCTTTAACTCCAAGTCTAAAACTCCGCTTAGAACTGGAGGTTTCTTTAACTCCACCTCTAAAACTCCGCTTATAGAACTGGAGGTTTCTTTAACTCCACCTCTAAAACTCCGCTTAGAACTGGAGGTTTCTTTAACTCCAAGTCTAAAACTCCGCTTAGAACTGGAGGTTTCTTTAACTCCACCTCTAAAACTCCGCTTAGAACTGGAGGTTTCTTTAACTCCACCTCTAAAACTCCGCTTAGAACTGGAGGTTTCTTTAACTCCACCTCTAAAACTCCGCTTAGAACTGGAGGATTCTTTAACTCCACCTCTAAAACTCCGCTTATAGAACTGGAGGTTTCTTTAACTCCACCTCTAAAACTCCGCTTAGAACTGGAGGTTTCTTTAACTCCACCTCTAAAACTCCGCTTAGAACTGGAGGTTTCTTTAACTCCACCTCTAAAACTCCGCTTAGAACTGGAGGTTTCCTTAACTCCACCTCTAAAACTCCGCTTAGAACTGGAGGTTTCTTTAACTCCACCTCTAAAACTCCGCTTACCCTCAGGTACCTGGCTCTGTCTCCAACTCGGTGGATATTGAGAAGCGAGCAGTGCAAACAATGATGGCCCAAACTTATGCTATAGAACAAGACGAGGGCTGGTATAGATGTGTGGCTAAGAATGGGGAGGGAGTTATCTATGAGGATACCTACCTTACTATCGGTGGTAAGTTCCGTGGAAACCTTTTAACTTCATAGTTCCTTAGCTGTAAAGTCTGCCTGCAAAGTCCGCCTGCTCATTTTAGGAACTCCTCTCCGATATTATGCAGTAACGAAGCCTGAAGCTAATCACTAATTTATGCTATTAAAAGTTCGGATGATTATACAGATCGCAGATTAATCTCTCTGGTCATTTTCCGAGGAAAGATTGAACCTTTAAATGTTTGAAAGTCTCCTTATTATAATTTAATCACAGGATTGATAATAATATAATACAGTAATATATACTGTAACACACTATCATTAACTATCATTGTCACAATGTTTGTACCAGTACAGGGTTTGAATCAGGATGAAGTCTAGTAAATCAATGGACCTGTCAAGGGGGGTTTCTTAAAGGGACCCGGGACATACACCTACAAATAACAATAATGCCAGAAACCAAACAATATGACATCTAATAGAGCTTCTGGGGTTGCGATGCTTCTAAGGAAATTAATGCAAATCAAACCCCAAAATCCTTGTAAAAGCCTGTGAACCCTTGTAACTTATTATTCGCATATCGACGAAGGACAAATCAAAAATGACATCGTAAATCTGCAACACTAATGCAAACGCATCAAATCTGCAACCTAAATAAACTGTTAAAATCATTGATCCAAAAACCCACACAACGATTCAATCTAGCTAAAAAACTATAAGTCAGCTATAAGTGAACTTTAAGTCAGCTTTAAATCAGCTATAAGTATGCTATAGGACAACTATCTGTCAGACCTGTGACTGTGTTGTAATGACCCGGAGACATGCTGAATTGTCTGGGACCCGCCTAAAAGCAGCGCCTGGCAGATATATCAACCAGCAGATCGCTTTCTGACAGAAGAAGCATCTATCAAAGGTATCATTTAGGATGCCGGCTTAGTTTGAGCTACTTTTAACAGTGCTTCTATGTGTTAAAAGTCCTCCTTAAATGGCATGAATTTTGTAGCTTTGCAACTCTCCTTTAGAAATTATACTTATTATACTTATAGGTTAAGTCGTAAAAATTAATTCTTCGGTATTAAAAAGTATCCTCGTAAGGTTTGTTAAAATTCATTCATTCTGGATTACAGACGCTGTTTACCTTTAATCATTATCGCTTATACGGGCAACATGCTATTCAGATTTAGATATAATCTCATCATGGGTAAAATATCATTTAATACTGCTCAAAAGCTTGATTTTGGATTAACAGTCAACGCTGAGTCAATCAAGCGTCAGTACGGTTAGCAGACACATGTTTAGTGACTGGTCAACAGTGGGGTACAGAGTTTATGATTAGAAATCAGTCTCTACCTCTCTATATTCGTCAGAATTATATGGTCATTAATGAAGACATGTTGCAAATGTTAATCAAGTTTTAACATTGCATGAATGCAAACCTTTCCTATTTTCTCGAGTTTTATCGACGGAACAATCAATTTTAAATGGAATAGAAAAATGTATCTTTTAATCCACATGCTTATAAAAGCCGCCAACTCGACTCTATGATTAGCTCATTAGGTTTCAAAGCGTCAAGCCGACAGTTATCCAAATACTTTCAAATATTTTCACAAATCTCGAACGATCAGTACCACCTTATAAGTGTCTTTGTAATATCTTCTCTAGCTTCTTATGTGTTAAGACAGAGGCTTCTAACTCCACAAGTTCACAACAAATTCGCGACAAAATGGCATAGTGAAAGACTTACAAATTCAAAATTTACCAATCGGTAAATCGGCAACACCCCAACTCAATAGAAAGAGCCCAAATTCTCCAAATCTTTTAGAGGATGCACTTGGCCGCGGGGAAAACTTCGCACCTCTTGATTTCTATAATCTACAAAGAGAGAACGAGGTGTCTTGAGGTCGCGGGGAAAACTTCGCACCTCTTGATTTCTATAATCTACAAACAGAGAACCAAGTGTCTTGAGGTCGCGGGGAAAACTTCGCACTTCTTGATTTCTATAATCTACAAACAGAGAACCAAGTGTCTTGAGGTCGCGGGGAAAACTTCGCACCTCTTGATTTCTATAATCTACAAACAGAGAACCAAGTGTCTTGAGGTCGCGGGGAAAACTTCGCACCTCTTGATTTCTATAATCTACAAACAGAGAACCAAGTGTCTTGAGGTCGCGGGGAAAACTTCGCACCTCTTGATTTCTATAATCTACAAAGAGAGAACCAAGTGTCTTGAGACTAGGGTTACTAGGGTGTTACTATGGTGTTACTAAGTGTTACTATGGTGTTACTAGGGTGTTACTAGGGTGTTACTAGGGTGTTACTAGGGTGTTACTAAGGTGTTACTAGGGTAAACTTCGCACCTCTTATTTCTATAATCTTCAAAGAGAGAACCAAGTTTCTTGAGACTAGGGTTACTAGGGTGTTACTAGGGTGTTACTAGGTGTTACTAGGGTGTTACTTCGCACCTCTTGATTTCTATAATCTACAAACAGAGAACCAAGTTTCTTGAGACTAGGGTTACTAGGGTGTTACTAGGGTGTTACTAGGTGTTACTAGGGTGTTACTAGGGTAAAATTCACACCTCTTGATTTCTGTAATCTACAAAGAGAGAACCAAGTGTCTTGAGACCACCACTCGTAGGCACATTAAAAAAGGAATGAGAAAAATCAGAAAACTCTCAACTTCTTGGTCACACTATATAATATGTTGATGATATATCACATATAACGTAAACCTGATCAAGAAGAAATTGAGAGTAAAATCTTGGTAACATGGTAATACACGTTCAGACTTTCCGATTTCATTATTAAGATGTTATTGTTACGGCTTGTCCAGTTCTTTTAGGCGCGGAATTTTATGAAAATGTGAACTTTTTTCAACTGTACCTCCTCGGTTATAGTGACTCGCGAAGGATTATAGTCCATTATTCCTTATAAGGGCATCACGTGGTGTTTAGTTAGTATTCTACAAATTCTAGCAGACTAACTAAACTGTTTACTATCTAACTGCAAAGGATTATAGTCCATTATTCCTTATAAGGGCATCACGTGGTGTATAGTCCATTATTCTACAAATTCTAGCTGGCTAACTAAACTTTTTACTATTTCACTGGTTTGAAGTACATATTATATTGATTTCGAGAATTATTATTTATTATTAGAGTTTCAAACCAAATTAGATTTCTTTTCAAAGCATTCAATATTTGTATAAATATAATCCACACCTACTAACCCAATCTCCAAACTCCTTCTATTTTCCCCCACTTTTCTTACTCTCGTACTTCCTCAGATTTATGTGACACAGTGGTATGTGATGCACCCCAAGTTTGTAAAGCAGACTACGATCTCGGAATAGCAGAATGTTCGTGTCCCTTCTGTACTTGGGAAAACTACGAGACCGATCCTAACCTCTACTGTGGTAAGTACCCTGGTTACCTGGTTACCTGGTTACCTGGTTACCTGGTTACCTGGTTACCTGGTTACCTGGTTACCTGGTTACCTGGTTACCTGGTTACCTGGTTACCTGGTTACCTGGTTACCTGGTTACCTGGTTACCTGGTTACCTGGTTACCTGGTTACCTGGTTACCTGGTTACCTGGTTACCTGGTTACCTGGTTGCCTGGTTACCTGGTTACCTGGTTACCTGGTTACCTGGTTACCTGGTAATGTTCTTGTCCCTTCTGTACTTGGGAAAACTACGAGACCGATCCTAACCGCTACTGTGGTAAGTAAGGACCTGTGCTTGAAAAAGGAGAGAGAGAGAGAGGGCATAACAAAATTGCCTCCCCATTCAATGAAATTACAAACATTCAACCCTAGAGTAAAAAGGTTAAATGCTAGCCCACACACCATCACATGAAATACAAGGTAACCTAACTTCCAAAATGTTGTCTACTTAATTTACAAAGGAATGTTGTCGCAGGAACGGATTGTGGCGTATACTACTCACGGTGCTCCATCGAAGAGGAGAAGTGCAAGGGAGTAGATCTTGACATCTTCCACGACGGTGTTTGCTCCTCCTTCAGTAAGCAATCCAATAATATCCTAGGATCTTCAATCGACCATTAATTGTCAAAAGCAATCAATGTTGCCCTCATACTAGAAATGTTCAACGAGTGTTCAACTGGATCACTGTATACAAACCTGCCATTTTTAACCGCCCCATCTTTCATGGAATGAATGAGATATTTGTATCCCCCTTGGATGATTAAAAAACCATCACAAAGGGGTAGCTAACCAGGTCGGCTGACCGCGAATGGTGTGATATTGATAAAAAGCATATTTCACCAAAACGAACCCTCTCTAGGTTTGCCTGAATACTCGTACGAAGAGCTACAAGAAACGGAAGTTTATTACGGGGACGAGGTTGAGTTGGCCTGCAGAGGAATTCCTGCTGGAGACACCCCTGGACCAGAACCAAGAATCATGTACATATCTTACATACCAATCACTGTGTTCTCACAACTCTCAGATGCTAATATGCATTGAAACTGTTCTGGAAACTCTGCTAATCCTGATATATTGTAGTAACCACCTAGAAACATGTCTCCACTAACACTCCCACATATCTCCACATATCTCCACTAACCCTCCCACCTGCAGGTGGTACCAAGATTGGGGAGCAGATATGGGCGGCAGGGAGCTGATAGGAGAGGGTAACACCATCACCTACACAATCACACTGTCCCGAGCTGATATAGTCTGTGTGGGGGTACATTGTCCTTCTGCGCCTCTACAAAGAGCCACGACTGATATTAACCACTTCAGACTAGCTGTCCCCCAGGAACCAACGGTGAGCGGGGCTCCTCTAATTTAATTTTACAGTTTAAGCGGGAACTTTATTCAGTGAATAAAGATTTGCGTGAATAAATTATTCACGCAAATCTCGCCCCCATCTCCCAAGCTATTATTGGAAGATATAATAATCATCTTTAAATATAAATTTGATACCAACACTTTAATGACTGTTGCAGCTTAGAACCTCTTTCAGACACCTCCAACTCCATCTCCGACACCCACGCCCCGAATTATAACCCCGGAGCCCTTGTCAAGTACAGAATCCCGTCTCTACGAATCCACGTCCCCCTACCTCATCCCCACCACACCTCTTCCACCTACATTAAGAGCAGACGGTGGCTCCGTATGTCAAATTATGGGAGATCCTATAGTGTCCACATTCGACAACAGATGGTAAGTCGTGGAGAAGCTTTTATTTAAACTTTTAAAGTAATTATAGTTTAATAGTTTTCAACTAAAGTAGTTACAGTTTAAAAGTTTTAAATTAAACTTAAAGTAGTTATAGTAAAAATGGTTTGAATTAAATTTTTTTGAATTACAAAACGATTATTAATAAAACAATCAAACCATTCAGTGATAAAATATGAACATAATGTTCATAACCTGACCAGTTATTCATGTTAAGGGTCGAGATAAATTGTCGATATAAACTGTCGATATAAACAAATGAATTGGTTCATTTTCAGTTTACTTCATAGAACAAAGCAGAGATATATCTATTATCACTTATCAGCATACATCATATATCATACATGTATCTTGATTCATCAAATCGCGGTGAACGGGTCTGTGAGTTTTAATAAGCTGATTAGAAGCGAACCAAGAACCATTGTCATATCCTAGACTCATTTCAAGAGTTATTTTATGCTCAACTGATAAAGGTTAAATGAATTAATGTGTCATGCAATTTATGTAGCGATCTAGGTTGAGACACGTAAACGTTATGTGCTGTGAAATTGAATATATATATATTTCGATCAATTGAAAAGCAAGGTTGCTGGCACAGTTTTATCATTACGTCACTTACACCACAAGCTGCTCATCAAGTCATGGACATAGAATGTACCAGCCCTTAAATTTGAAACTCAATAAATCTAAGTCTGAATGTTTTTCAAGTACACAGATAAATGGAATGACGCCACTAAGAACATTTTTCTTAGTGGAGACATAAGGGGTCGTCGGCAAAACCAACAAACTTAGGCCATTGGTAATGGTAAACCTAACTAAAGAATCTAATACTAAATCAATAATTAATCCTTCAATTGGTCACATAAACAATTAGTAAACTGAACAATTAAATAACTAAACAATTAATACCCGTACTATTTGTCAGGTACAAACAAGACGGCGTGTGCACGTACGTTCTTGCGATGGACTGCAGGTTCGCTCAGTGGTTTGTTTACGGACGGTTCATGCAGTACGGTGAAACCAGTGCTTTAGAAAGCATCACCATCTACAGCGGGTAAGTGATCGGGCTTTAGCTTCACAACCAGGCACGAGCTGTTGGAGGAATTCAGGAAATGAGGAGCCAAGAATTCTGAAAATTTTGAGAGATTCGCAGGATAGTCTGGCACGAAAACGTGGTATTTACCCCTGGACATCAAACTAGCTGTGAGACGTTAAATTTTCTGTAGAATTCCAACTAGAAAGTATAAAGACTGTCTGAGTAATGCACTGCTTCCTGCGGATCCTGACTTTCGTTTAACCAATATTCCGGAATGGACTAAGCACACTAATTTAAGAACAAATAAGGCTAATAACATTGAACAGGTAAACTGTCTGTCCCTTTTAGACCACAATAAGGTCCGAAGGAAGTTGGAAACAACATTTTAACACTTTTACATATTTTATTGTACGTGTGATCCCATTTCACTCCAACATGGCAAACAGCGTGAAGGGTGTTAGTTCAGGGTGTTAGCAATTTAACACATACAAAGTGCTCAAAAAATGAACTTTTCTACAGCTTCTTTTATACGTAGAATTTAAAAGTTAAGGCTGTGACCTAATATTTAACAATGTCCATGATTATGATGGTTAGCAGTGAAAACACTCCTAATTAATGTTTTAAGTAAGCAAGGATATAGGAAGATATTTGTGAAGTTAAAATCGTGACGCGATTGCAAGGTCAAGAAGTTATGAAACCTCTGACAGAGAATTTCGGTGAAATGACAAGTTCAGTAAAGCAATAACTGCCAATATGTCAAATTAGTGGTAAACTCACGCAGTGGTAACACCTTTACAAAGTTCGCCGGGTACTAGAGAGGTTCAGCGCTACTGGAGGCACGTATTTACGTAATGCCGTTTTATTTTTAGAAACGTTGCGTTCTATGGAAAAAGAAAGAATGTAGTATTTCTAGCATTTTACTGTGCAATGGAAACAGGTGTATCTATTAAAAACGCGCACAAATTTAATGTTTAACATACCTTAATATTGCTTAATTTTATTATTATATCGGAGCAGATTTTGAAGCATTCCACTGGATTGACAAGGCAGTTTTTTGCTAAACCTGCCACCAATAACTGATAACCGGAGGTTGAGATGACAAAATAATGTTAGATTAAAACAAGGTGGTATATTAATTGTTTAAGAAATGTTGAGGTAAAGTTTGGCAGATCAATAAAATGCACGTACTGCATATTATAAGCGTACTGCATATTAATCATGAAAATTAAACGCCAAAAATAAACGTATGGGGTCCCCTCAATAACAAAGGTATCGTTAAACTGGATACTAATATAATATCCTAGCGATCAAAGGAGCATCTGACAACGCGTAAGAAACTTTAAAAGCATTAAAACACATCCTAACATAAAATTCCTTACTACAGTATTTGAATAAGCAGACTCGCAGTTTAGCGACTCGAGACTGTGTCAAAACTGCCGCAATTAACTAATTATGAAGCAATTAGCTAATTATGAAGCACACGTCCCACTGAAAACAGCATAACTATAAGATAATATCTGTTTGAGCCACAACTTCATTCCGACCTGTTGCTCCGGCTAACCGAACAAAAACTTTACATGCAAGGAGCTTATAAACTGATGACTTACTTAACGAAATCTTAAACAAAATGCAAATCCAAATAGTTTAAACTAATGCCACAACTGGAGGGCTGGCTATCAGACCATAGTTTGTAGAAATTTGGAATGTTAGGGATGATGCAATCATAAAGACATGTGATGGAGAGGTCCAAGACTGTCATAGCTGAGATAGTCAAGACATTGTGGAATGTGGTGGGATTTCATCACACTTTATCATGTAAATCCCGGTTTATTAAGGATTTTTTATTTCCTCATAACATATTCGAGATTAAAAAGTAAATCTACGAAATTAAAATCTTTAATAAATATAACCGGACGAACTTCACGTTGTTCGCAGCGCCACAGATATCAACTGTCTGATGCACTGGGAACTGTTTTAGTTTAGTCAATATTAAACGTTAAATTTGTAGAGGAAGTGGCCCGCGGTCTCAGAAGCATTTCCTCAACTAAATACAGGCATATTTTAAATATTCACTCTCAGCAGCTTTCTAATTGACACACTTGTAAAGTCTTGAAGGATTTGATTCCGATTTCTCAACCGTGCGTACCAATATTTAAACCATATTAAGTCGTCAAAAATCATTTAATAACATAAACGCTTAAATAGCACGGAGCGCTAAAAAATCAGAAAAATAACGATCTTATTCTCAGAGGATCAGTATTGGAGTTACAACGGGGATAGTAACTACCTAGTAACTACCTAGTAACCACCTAGTAACCACCTAGTAACCACATAGTAACCACCTAGTAACCACCTAGTAACCACCTTATTCTCAGAGGATCAGTATTGGAGTTACAACGGGGATGGATCATAAACAACAACGGAGAAAAACTAAAAGTAACAGTAGGGGAGGAGAAGCAGTTTGCTAAAATGACATACGACTTTGATGGGGAGTTCCTGACACTGAAATTCGGACAAGGGAATCAAATCAGATGGAACGGCTTCAACGGTATGTTTCACAAATTAACGGTTTGACAAACTCCCGGCCAATGGTGTGTCAACTGAACCTGTAAACTATTCAAAGCCTTCAGTGATCCCATTTCCTATCCAGATATTAGAGAATTAGATATACCCCATCAACACCAGTTACCATTGCGCCGAATTATAGACTTAATATTGACAAAGCTCCTTTGATACGGACTAATGAGTGATGTTATAAACTTCATGTGCTCACCGAAAGTTCAAAAGGCTTTGTAATATCACAAACATGCGGATTCTATCGCGAGACCAGGAGAAATAGAGCTGAGAGCAAAAACCTACAGGTGCACAAATAGTGACAAGTCCTGATTCCCGAACGTGCGGACTATGCGGAAATAACAACGGAGATGCAGCAGACGACTTCACTTCACGGTTCAGGAGAAAGGTTGAGGATCCTTACGCGCTGGCCAGCAGCTGGAGTATTCGACAGAGCAGGTTAGTGTGTCCCTTTCTGACTTCAGATCAGTATTGAAATCAAACAATTTGTATATAATGCAATTTTAAGTTATCTATTGGTGATGATTTAGACTAAATAGTCAACACGAAAAGTTGTGGAATGGAATGAAAAACACAGTGTGACTTATCAACACCCATGGCTTCCCTGGAAATTAAAATAGCTTTGATATCACGAAAACACCGACTAAAATGATTATATTCTTAAATTAATTCAGTCACTATCCTCCGTAGGGTGTGCCTCAAGAACGAACTGGAAGTAGAAATAACAGCCGAAGCAAAAGAAGCGTGCAGCGCTTTGTTCTTCCACCCCTACATACTCAGATGTCACGATACTGTGAGTTAAATTATATTAAAAATGCTAGACGATCGAGATCTACTTCCTCGACACTATCTGACACTTTCGATCATATTCCGTCCTTATAACCCCCGTTATTATTCCTTAACCTGCCAGGTTCCGTAGCTCGCGCAAACTTGTCAGAATTGGTGACAGGATTGAACCTGTCATTACACGATTTTAGAACTCTCTAATCATTTATTTGTCACAACTGTAACGCCTGGTACCGGTGGTGCCGATCGGTTAATGGATTTCACCGCAATTGATGATGTAATCTCACTGAATTCTAATTTTGCCACTATATGAATATCAAAGTTTGTGTAGATTGTCGAATAAAGTTTCGCACTTTATTTGAGCGGTATCGGAAACAAGAAAAACCCTCAAATCTAGATAGACAATGATCATAAAGTAAGCCGAAAATATCAGATTTCAAATTCATTTCACCATTTTTGATGAAATATCATGCCATTCTATATTAATATAGAGTGAACTTGTTACCAACTTCGATTTCAAATTAGAAAATAATAAAGTGAGATTCGGAGAACTGGTGAAACCTATAATTCAGGAAGGTACTGATCGTTTCCGCAGGGAACAAAGTGACTTTATTTGTTGTTAAGGTGTTAGTAACACTATTAAGGTGTTAGTAACACTATTAAGGTGTTAGTAACACTATAGTGCTTCAACGCGCTCCGCTGAACTTATTAAAGCTAATTATAACGGGCCTGCTGCTACTGGCACTGCAGAAAAGAAGGAAAATCCCAGCCTAAGTTAAGAAAATGATCCCATACAATTTCTTTTAAGACATGCCGAACGCGGGGACTTGAACTTTTCATTTAGTGACGGCAAAATTGTCGATTAGCTTGCAAACTTAAACACTTAAGGTCGGCTTATATTTAGACTCAACACGAGGCACAAAGTCGGAGTTTTTATTAAATATTCTACCTCTGGAAACTGCTTTCAAAATCGGAAAAACTGCACCCTAGCTTCCTAATATGAAGAATATGTTTCACTTCTCGGTGAAAAGCTCTCATACTCAACAACTGATTTATAGAATGTCTTCCTCAAACTTTAAACAATATTAACATCAGATCGTGGTATTATAATTGTTTTACAGTACTACCATCGTACGTTTTCGATAATGTTTAATGATACGAATTAATTAGTCAAAGGAACTTATGCCGTCCTTTCAAAAGTTCAAAGCTCTCTATATCTGGATACCATGTTGGGGAGGTGACCATATTTTAACCAATCAGCTGTCAGCATTAACCAATCAGCTGTCAGCATTAACCAATCAAAAGCCATTGTCAAGTGTCAAAACAGATACGCCATACGGTTCACCTTCCCATCAGTATCCAGATGCTCTTTTATTTTGAAGTGTTTGCCTAGTACTATTGCCGAAGACAAAAAGATCGTAGGGAATAAATGCCCCCTCAAAATTCAGTTTTTGACAATTTTTGTTAAACTGAGTTCAAAAACAATTATTCTTACCTATTCCTAAGACCTATAACATTTTATATACCGGGACTGGTTTTTTCGGTATATAATAGTTTCGGTATATAATAGTTTCGGTATATAATAGTTTCGGTATATAATAGTTTCGGTATATAATAGTTATAAAATAAAAGTGAGAGTTACTGTCAGTGTCATCAAAACGGGTAACTGTTTAAAAACGGTCTGAAGTCCGAATTGTGCCTGACACACAACACTGAAAGAGGTTGTCAAATTGGCAAACGAAGAGTAGTCCAATCTATCTAACCGATCTAATTGGTAATTAAGATTGAAGCTTGACAGAAGTAACAGGGTAAACTCGAAGGAAAACCAGCGTAAGACTACGGACGGAAGGAAGGGATTTTTACTCATTATTTGATTGAACAAGCGTAGCTTGGTCAATTTCGCAATAAAGGATGTAGTGTTACCCTCAATACAAACAAATTACATTTTATAATCACTCATTGCGACATCAAAAATTTTTAATTATTTGTCAATTTTTGCGAACAAAAAGCCTTTCGAGGGAATGATACAAGATCACTCTTAGACAAATGCGTGTTACTAAAATGACAGAGTATAATCAAAAAGTAGCACTCTGACTCATATCAAAGTACATACGCATACACAGCGGCCTACTGTAATTAACGCAACACGTGGTAATGAAAATCACTGTCACCACAGCTCTGAACTAAGAGAAACTAACATCCCTGTCACCACAGCTCTGAACTAAGAGAAACTAACATCACTGTCACCACACAGCTCTGAACTAAGAGAAACTAACATCACTGTCACCACTGCTCTGAACTAAGAGAAACTAACATCACTGTCACCACAGCTCTGAACTAAGAGAAACTAACATCACTGTCACCACAGCTCTGAACTAAGAGAAACTAACATCACTGTCACCACACAGCTCTGAACTAAGAGAAACTAACATCACTGCACACAGCTCTGAACTAAGAGAAACTAACATCACTGTCACCACAGCTCTGAACTAAGAGAAACTAACATCACTGCACACAGCTCTGAACTAAGAGAAACTAACATCACTGTCACCACAGCTCTGAACTAAGAGAAACTAACATCACTGCACACAGCTCTGAACTAAGAGAAACTAACATCACTGTCACCACAGCTCTGAACTAAGAGAAACTAACATCACTGCACACAGCTCTGAACTAAGAGAAACTAACATCACTGTCACCACAGCTCTGAACTAAGAGAAACTAACATCACTGTCACCACAGTTCTGAACTAAGAGAAACTAACATCACTGTCACCACAGCTCTGAACTAAGAGAAACTAACATCACTGTCACCACAGCTCTGAACTAAGAGAAACTAACATCACTGTCACCACAGTTCTGAACTAAGAGAAACTAACATCACTGTCACCACAGCTCTGAACTAAGAGAAACTAACATCACTGTCACCACAGCTCTGAACTAAGAGAAACTAACATCACTGTCACCACAGCTCTGAACTAAGAGAAACTAACATCACTGTCACCACACCTCTGAACTAAGAGAAACTAACATCACTGTCACACAGCTCTGAACTAAGAGAAACTAACATCACTGTCACCACAGCTCTGAACTAAGAGAAACTAACATCACTGTCACCACAGCTCTGAACTAAGAGAAACTAACATCACTGCACACAGATCTGAACTAAGAGAAACTAACATCACTGTCACCACAGCTCTGAACTAAGAGAAACTAACATCACTGTCACGACAGCTCTGAACTAAGAGAAACTAACATCACTGTCACCACAGCTCTGAACTAAGAGAAACTAACATCACTGTCACCACAGCTCTGAACTAAGAGAAACTAACATCACTGTCACCACAGCTCTGAACTAAGAGAAACTAACATCACTGTCACCACAGCTCTGAACTAAGAGAAACTAACATCACTGCACACAGATCTGAACTAAGAGAAACTAACATCACTGTCACCACAGCTCTGAACTAAGAGAAACTAACATCACTGTCACGACAGCTCTGAACTAAGAGAAACTAACATCACTGTCACCACAGCTCTGAACTAAGAGAAACTAACATCACTGTCACCACAGCTCTGAACTAAGAGAAACTAACATCACTGTCACCACAGCTCTGAACTAAGAGAAACTAACATCCCTGTCACCACAGCTCTGAACTAAGAGAAACTAACATCACTGTCACCACAGCTCTGAACTAAGAGAAACTAACATCACTGTCACCACAGCTCTGAACTAAGAGAAACTAACATCCCTGTCACCACAGCTCTGAACTAAGAGAAACTAACATCACTGCACACAGATCTGAACTAAGAGAAACTAACATCACTGTCACCACAGCTCTGAACTAAGAGAAACTAACATCACTGTCACCACAGCTCTGAAAATGATAATCAACATCACTGTCACCACAGCTCTGAACTAAGAGAAACTAACATCACTGTCACCACAGCTCTGAACTAAGAGAAACTAACATCACTGTCACCACAGCTCTGAACATGATAATGAACATCACTGTCACCACAGCTCTGAACTAAGAGAAACTAACATCACTGTCACACAGCTCTGAACTAAGAGAAACTAACATCACTATCACCACAGCTCTGAACTAAGAGAAACTAACATCACTGTCACCACAGCTCTGAACTATGAGAAACTAACATCACTTTCACCACAGCTCTGAACTAAGAGAAACTAACATCACTGTCACCACAGCTCTGAACATGATAATGAACATCACTGTCACCACAGCTCTGAACTAAGAGAAACTAACATCACTTTCACCACAGCTCTGAACTAAGAGAAACTAACATCACTGTCACCACCGCTCTGAACTAAGAGAAACTAACATCACTGTCACCACAGCTCTGAACTAAGAGAAACTAACATCCCTGCCACCACAGCTCTGAACTAAGAGAAACTAACATCACTGTCACCACAGCTCTGAACTAAGAGAAACTAACATCCCTGCCACCACAGCTCTGAACTAAGAGAAACTAACATCACTGTCACACAGCTCTGAACTAAGAGAAACTAACATCACTGTCACCACAGCTCTGAACTAAGAGAAACTAACATCACTGTCACCACACCTCTGAACTAAGAGAAACTAACATCACTGCCACCACAGCTCTGAACTAAGAGAAACTAACATCACTGTCACCACAGCTCTGAACTAAGAGAAACTAACATCCCTGCCACCACAGCTCTGAACTAAGAGAAACTAACATCACTGTCACCACAGCTCTGAACTAAGAGAAACTAACATCCCTGCCACCACAGCTCTGAACTAAGAGAAACTAACATCACTGTCACACAGCTCTGAACTAAGAGAAACTAACATCACTGTCACCACAGCTCTGAACTAAGAGAAACTAACATCACTGTCACCACAGCTCTGAACTAAGAGAAACTAACATCCCTGTCACCACTGCTCTGAACTAAGAGAAACTAACATCCCTGTCACCACAGCTCTGAACTAAGAGAAACTAACATCCCTGTCACCACAGCTCTGAACTAAGAGAAACTAACATCACTGTCACCACAGCTCTGAACTAAGAGAAACTAACATCACTGTCACCACAGCTCTGAACTAAGAGAAACTAACATCACTGTCACCACCGCTCTGAACTAAGAGAAACTAACATCACTGTCACCACTGCTCTGAACTAAGAGAAACTAACATCACTGTCACCACACCTCTGAACTAAGAGAAACTAACATCACTGCACACAGCTCTGAACTAAGAGAAACTAACATCACTGTCACCACAGCTCTGAACTAAGAGAAACTAACATCCCTGCACACAGCTCTGAACTAAGAGAAACTAACATCACTGTCACCACAGCTCTGAACTAAGAGAAACTAACATCACTGTCACCACAGCTCTGAACTAAGAGAAACTAACATCACTGTCACCACAGCTCTGAACTAAGAGAAACTAACATCACTGTCACCACAGCTCTGAACTAAGAGAAACTAACATCACTGTCACCACAGCTCTGAACTAAGAGAAACTAACATCACTGTCACCACAGCTCTGAACCAAGAGAAACTAACATCACTGCACACAGCTCTGAACTAAGAGAAACTAACATCACTGTCACCACAGCTCTGAACTAAGAGAAACTAACATCACTGTCACTACAGCTCTGAACTAAGAGAAACTAACATCACTGTCACCACAGCTCTGAACTAAGAGAAACTAACATCACTGTCACACAGCTCTGAACTAAGAGAAACTAACATCACTGTCACCACACAGCTCTGAACTAAGAGAAACTAACATACCTGTCACCACAGCTCTGAACTAAGAGAAACTAACATCACTATCACCACAGCTCTGAACTAAGAGAAACTAACATCACTGTCACCACAGCTCTGAACTAAGAGAAACTAACATCACTGTCACCACAGCTCTGAACTAAGAGAAACTAACATCACTGCACACAGCTCTGAACTAAGAGAAACTAACATTACTGTCACCACAGCTCTGAACTAAGAGAAACTAACATCACTGCACACAGCTCTGAACTAAGAGAAACTAACATCACTGCACACAGCTCTGAACTAAGAGAAACTAACATTACTGTCACACAGCTCTGAACTAAGAGAAACTAACATCACTGTCACCACAGCTCTGAACTAAGAGAAACTAACATCACTGTCACACAGCTCTGAACTAAGAGAAACTAACATTCCTGTCACCACAGCTCTGAACTAAGAGAAACTAACATCACTGTCACCACAGCTCTGAACTAAGAGAAACTAACATCACTGCACACAGCTCTGAACTGAGAGAAACTAACATCACTGTCACCACACCTCTGAACTAAGAGAAACTAACATCACTGTCACACAGCTCTGAACTAAGAGAAACTAACATCACTGTCACCACACCTCTGAACTAAGAGAAACTAACATCACTGTCACCACAGCTCTGAACTAAGAGAAACTAACATCACTGTCACCACAGCTCTGAACTAAGAGAAACTAACATCAGTGTCACCACAGCTCTGAACTAAGAGAAACTAACATCACTGTCACCACAGCTCTGAACTAAGAGAAACTAACATCCCTGTCACCACAGCTCTGAACTAAGAGAAACTAACATCACTGTCACCACAGCTCTGAACTAAGAGAAACTAACATCCCTGCACACAGCTCTGAACTAAGAGAAACTAACATCCCTGTCACCACAGCTCTGAACTAAGAGAAACTAACATCACTGTCACCACACCTCTGAACTAAGAGAAACTAACATCCCTGCACGCAGATCCCTGTAACGGACTACGAGGTAGCGTGTGCACGGAGCTACGCGACTAACACGTACGCGGGGTGGCGTGCAGAGTGCAATATGTTGCAGAGTTACGTTCTGCAGTGCGAGACACGAGGCCACAACCTCTCAACCTGGAGGGAACGAACCGAGTGCAGTGAGTATTACTGCAGATTGTTGTTGTTGTTGTTGTTGAGAGAGTTGTAGAGAGAGTGCAGTGAGTTTTACTGATTAACCGCGACCGTATGTTCGCGCGTGCACCGCGCATGATAAGAAATTATTAGGATATATACCAGCGGAAAGCTGGTGTTGGACAGCAAACCAATTTGCGATTAGTTTAAGTTTGCCGTTTCAATTCAATCTGCTAGTGGTAACTTCATTATTGGCGATTAAATGGGTGAGGGCAATTGAAATGTACGGTTACCTCCTGTAAAAAAGTGTTTTATTGTTTACTATAAATATAATAATGGTACGAATTAATTTGGTGTGCCTTGTTCTTTGGAAATTTGCCTTGCTTTTACTCTCATCCTCTAATGTAATGATCAAAGTATTAAACATATTCACCTGACTCATCAATAATCACATTTTCAGCCGAATTAGCAGAAGTGCAGAAATTCACGATAGATAACGGTTGCCCTCAGGGTAGGACATCAATCTTTATTAACCTTATTTAGGAACATTCACTTCTCCTTAAATCAATAACGTTTCGGTTGATAAATCATTTTTCATATCTTGAAATGATACTCATATTCCATATGATAATATAGTAATATAATAACTGAAGGACGCACGGTTATAATATAATAATTTAATAATATATAATATAATAATAATACAATAATTTAGAACAGAACCGCTGACAACTTACGAATTAATAACCTACAAGTACAACCAGTGAATCAGTGGATTACTTTCACTATAAACACTTTATTTCAGATTTCCCACCAGTGTAAAAGTCCCAATTAGTAAAACTAAAAAACACCCCAATGAAGATCGACCATCGAGTTAATGGTCACCTAGTTCCTCTGAAGATTAACGTGAGCGTATTAATTGCCCGATCACAACAACAACAATTTGGCTATATCTGCTGGTAGTGGTAACCAACTTATTCCGTGGCAACTCAAAACTTGAGAATATTGCGAATTTAAATTATATTTCGATGTTGGGCGATATGCTAGGTTTAATCTAACGTTAAATCCTGATGGACCGACTAGGCTTGAATTGCATGATTATCTAAATATTTGTGTCCGGCCTAAGAGTTTACCGAATAGGTTTAATTTTACGACTAGTTTTTTTAATTAATAATGATATCTTTGCTGGACCTGTTTCTACTGTTTATACTACAGCCGAGTGATACTGATAGGAGTTATTTGGTAATAAATATTCTACTATTTTAGACTATGTAAAGTAACTTACTTTTTATAAATTCATAACAAATTATACCGAGAAAATAAAAATTGTATATGTGAACTGTAAAGTAACTTACTTTTTTATAAATTCAAATTCATCTTAATTTTCTTTAGCCTCATTCTGTAGGTTTTATCATCTCCGTGGGGAACTATGTTCAAACTTTAACCCTCTGATTTCTGAAAACAAGCATGTCTTATAGTTTTGTAAGTCACAACCCAATACCCATACATAAGGGGTCGTTCACAAATTACCTAATCAGCCGAGGGGGGGGGGGGGGGGGGGGGGTTTAATAGTAAGTAGTTTAGAAGGTGCTTGGCCGGATATCAATGATTTCGGCTCATCATAATAGCATGATAAGGGTAGCATGAAACGTAGAGACAATTTTTCTCTAGGAGAAAAGTCAAGGTGGGGGGGGGGTCAGGCCATGATTACGTAATATTACTGTCAGGAGGAGGGGGGTTGGGTCTTGATTACGGTTGATTACGGAGAGGGGGAGGGGGTAAAAATTGCTAAATTATTGATTACGTAATATGTGAACGACCCCTAAACAAAAGTTAGGATTGTTAATTGTAAGCATCTCTCATCAAGCTTGTTTGAATAGATTCGTCAAAGTTCATAGTTATATTTTATACAAGAAATTCTTACCATTCAAGGCGCGCGAGGATCACATTCTTGATATCCTGGAGCGCCTGATGGTCGTATTCCGAGCTGAGAGACTGAGAGCTTTACTGCATACTGGGCCATGGGAGGCGCTCAGCTTGTCATTCCGCCAAATCTCTATTCTCTATGATTAAATTAGGAACATAAATATAATAGCCTGGGGTCCCCTGGTAAAGAGAGCTCTGATAATGGTAGTTATCAATTAAAGCTTGTGTCTGTGCTTGCTCTAATAAAAGCATATCACCATTGCATCTTTCGATCCATCCATGACTTCACTTTCAGTAAACGACGTCATTGTCCATTTGCTAACATCTCAATAACTTAAGATATACAACTTCTTTGGCCCACCAACCCCCCCCCCCCCCCCCCCCCCCCCCCCCCCCCCCCAGTGGTCAATAGAGTCCTCGGCAGTCGGCCTCAGTCAAAAATCGTCCTTCGGTCGACCCATGATTTCACAACTATAGTACGACTTCGTTGAGGGTGGTGTAATTAACAGTTTACCTGAGGACCCCAGGCTATTATGTTCATAAAAAATTCGGCGGAATGACAGGCTGAGCGCCGCCCAGTGATTAACAGTGAACTTCGTGCCAAGAAGCCCAATACACTCCCCAGAAACATATAACGGTAGAATTCCACCCCAGCCTTATATTACCGGTAGCCAACACATGTTTCATCGTTATATCTTTCGAGCTGTGTCGAATTTGAACTATAACTATGGGTTGATTTATATCTTGAAGTGTCTGTTCTATCAAACACCCTAATATATAGTCTCTCCGGCCATCTGTAATCAAATCCTGTTATTTGTAGGATCCTTAGACACAGTTTCATGTACCAGAACGTTGGTTTTTCGGGTGCAGTTTAATGTAATTTTTCAGCTTTTAATTTCATAATTTGCATACCCAAGTCCCAACATAACAACAGCCTACTAATACAGACATTCGCTTTCAACGTTTAAAGGACCAGTTAACTGAAAAAAAAGTTATCCTCATATTTTGACAGATTGTGACAAATAGCAAACTAAGCAACGAGTCGAAATTCCTAAATCTCTAACTGCTCTCTAACGCGTGTAATTAGCGTTTGTATTATTTTGGCGATGACGTCATAAAGTCCCTTGCGCGCACAGAGTAGCTCGTGAGACTGTATTTTACAGGTAGAAAATGGACATAATACAATGTTTCTCCCCCAAATAACTCGAAAAGTAAGTATTTTAGGGTACATGTTGCTTCATAAGTTGTATATAAACATGGCCATTCTGCACAATTTGCACTCATTCAAAAATCTGTAGGGCCTTCATAGCCCAATTTACGAGATGCCCATATTTTAGCATGATTTCTGGAACCGAAAATCAGTTTTTCGCCAATAACTGAAAAAGTAAGCACTTTAAGGCATATGTTTGTTCGTAAGTCATATATTAATATGCTAATTGCGGTTCTTTTGCACCCTGTCTAAAGACTCTATCACGATCCTATCGAAAATGGGCTCAGCACCACGCCCAAAATGGTTTTTGGCAAATTTCTCGAAAAGTAAGGATTTTAGGCCATGTGTTGCTCAGTAACTCCTATATAAACATGCATATGCCGCTTGGTTTAAGCCTATTTAGAAGTCTCTATTAAGTCTCTCAAATTAAGCTGTTAGTGTCCATGATCAACCTGTGGCGACAATGTTTAACGTGAAATGTAAAAATCAGGAGTAATATAAAAAGTGTATTTTTAGATTAAAGTGCTAGCTCATAGTTTTAGAATTGTATAGATTAACGTTGGTCGTTTAGCCATCTAACAATCGATCGTGCCGTAATATATGGCCAGAGAATAATAGGGTCTTGGAAATTCTATAGTTGTTCAGTGGGTCGATTGACTGAACACGTTTGCACTTGGTATTTAAACTTATCAGTAGTTTATTTATGTTATGTACCGATGATAATGCAATTAGGATAACAACTAGGTAAGCCGTAAGTCTAATTCAAAACACACCGCACACCGTACACACCAATCAGTATTACTATTTGGTAGACCGGGTATTTTGGCGGGAATTCTGTTCCCACGGCACTGTTCTGATAGAAGCTACTTCTACTAATAATCCCAGAGGAACGGCCGTAAAGTAGCCAGACTTCTTGTCTCCTGTACTGGCTGACACATGTGGATTAAAGTTAGAAATTCTGCTATGATATAAATATAATTGCTCTCGGAATTGAACAAACTCCTACTTATCTAGATCCTTTCTAAATTCGTTAGAGTTTCATGGACTGGGGAAAAATAATTGGTACAGTCTCCCTGCTTGTGTAATTAAGCAATGAAAACAATCCAAAATTATCACATTATATGACATAAGTTGTAATAGCAGAAACTTTCTAACCGTACATTCACCCGCCACTGTTCAAGAAATTATTTCACTGTTTAAAATCATGACGTGAGCACTGTACATACAATCAGCTATTCCTTTAGTTAGGATGATAGCCAAAACTATAAGGATTTTGGAGAACTAGGGTAATAGTCATAATTCTAAAATTTGAGTGAGTTACACGTGTTTTATTGACGATGATAAACATTTGCAATGTATTACGCTATGCAAGCGCGCACTGAGGGACTTTATGACGTCACGACGCCACAGCTTATTATTGCAATAACACGCGTTACACGAACGCTAGAGAATTGGTTCTTTCGGCGATACGATTCTTTACCAGTTTGTCACAGCTGATTTAAATCTTAGCCAAATTGGAGACTACAAATTTTTCAGTTAACTGGTCCTTTAAGTTGCCTCAAGAATCAAGAATTATCGCGTCAAAAACTTGATTTATGACGACCACGTAATCCAAAATTCTTATTACTATTAGTGAAATAAACGAATTAGAATTACATAGATTGCTAATGCTATAGTTTCCCGCTTAGGTTCTCATAGGTTCGGGTAAGGGGTATAACGTTAACGGCGAAAATGCGCCCCCTCCCTAAAATTGAACAAATTAGGTGATTTAAATAAAATGGATACACCGGTAAAATCTCTAAAAAACTGTGTTTTTGACATACGTTGCATGCCACTTTTCGCGCACACAACTGTGTTTCTAGAGCAAAACGCTAGTACCTCAGCTAAGTTTTTCAAAATTGTCCCACATTCAAACGACGATTTTGTGCCCCCCTAAGCCGCTCCTACTAAATTGACCATTGTTAATCATGATCTGGCCCGGCGCGCGCTACTTCGTAGCTCTTGCCATCGGGCCATAACATTTCCATAATTTCACGACGCCACAGCTTATTATTGCAATAACACGCGTTACACGAACGCTAGAGAATTGGTTCTTTCGGCGATACGATTCTTTACCAGTTTGTCACAGCTGATTTAAATCTTAGCCAAATTGGAGACTACAAATTTTTCAGTTAACTGGTCCTTTAAGTTGCCTCAAGAATCAAGAATTATCGCGTCAAAAACTTGATTTATGACGACCACGTAATCCAAAATTCTTATTACTATTAGTGAAATAAACGAATTAGAATTACATAGATTGCTAATGCTATAGTTTCCCGCTTAGGTTCTCATAGGTTCGGGTAAGGGGTATAACGTTAACGGCGAAAATGCGCCCCCTCCCTAAAATTGAACAAATTAGGTGATTTAAATAAAATGGATACACCGGTAAAATCTCTAAAAAACTGTGTTTTTGACATACGTTGCATGTTGATTCACGATGTCAATCCTTCGCAGCTCGGTGAGGCACAGTGGTGCATCTCGCCGATCTACCGAAGGATTGATGCATAACAACAAGACACGCGCTAAAGACGCGCATTTTCTGAGTGATGTTAACGATAGCTTTAAACTCACTGATGTCATTATTATTCAGCGTGACCGGTAATAGTTTAAAAATCAGAAGGAGAAAACACATGAATAAATTACTAAAAAAGGAGTATTACTTTACAAGATTGAATTTAAATATAGTCATAATAGATAAGAGAGGAATTTGTTTCCCTTTGAATCAATCGAACTAGATGAATTGTTGTAAATACTGAGATCAAACTATCAATCTACAGCTCAGGCTATCGTCAAACATGTTGAAAGGCGTCATCTTCAGTGACATAATAGATAAGAGTTTATTAACTATCATGCCAACTTTAGAGACGGTAACCACATTAAACTTAAGTTTTCCCAATCAAAATAAAGGGTTTATGCAAAATAAAAGGTTTATGCACTAGACTGAGAGACAATTAACCTTATGCAATGCAGGTTAGTATAACTATAATATCGGACTGAGTTGAAATTTCTGAGAGCATGATACCCCAAAATAAATATATGCCTGTGTCTGGCAATAGCGTTCAGATGGCTTCCGAACTTGTGCGGATAAGATAATATAACAAATACAATTACAAATAAACTATATAATAACAATCTGAAAATTAATGTATCAGTACAGATCTTATACTCGAAATCAGGCACTTTCAAAACATTTCTCTTAAATTATCTTTCTTAACACC